TAGTCCGTTATCATTCGAGACGTGTCTCTATTAACCAGATAACTAAGTGTGCTCCAGTAACACCAGACTACATGTCCTCGTTCTCTTTGATATGGAGATGAAGTTAGTGATTAATACATGTATCTACTAAATTCTGCGAATAGTTTTGTCAACATGTTTTCATTCGATCAAATTGTATCACTTTGATATTAATTGTAGGACAACGAAAAGGAAACGTTTTTACAATTTATCTTATTGTGATTCTTTAATTGATTTCAGGTCGAGTCACATGGTTGCATTATACTTTATTAGATACTAAACTTTCTTCAGCTATCAAAACAGTTTGAACAGTATCCTGACATAATTGTTGATCTAAACCAACAACATTAGTATCATTTTAACAACTGTTACGAAATGCATTTCCATGTGATTTTTAAAAAACCAATAATTAATAATTATAAATATGGCTGTTCATCAAAATCTTCGTACTTAAACACATCAGTAACTAGAGAATCAATAGTCATCTGGGGTTCACTTGTTCAGAGCCAAATATACAGATTTCAAACACAACTGGTTTAAAATGTCAATTGTTTTGATTTTCTCAGCACTTTGATATTTTCTTTTCCTCGTGAATTTTGCTTTTAGTATGTCTATATCTCAACTTTGGTTTTGTAGAAACCCACCATGGCTGGTCTGTGTATAAAGTGCTGTCGGTCCGTTAAGCACCTGCCTACAAGGTTGATCTGTGTCCTGATCATACTCCTACAGGCGGCCGGCCTAGACTACTACCTCGTCACTTACAAAAACCTCAACTGGGCAGGCTGGGCGGCTGCTGACATTGTCATCCTCCTCCTCCTTCTCATCACCTTCTACTTTGGCTACAGATTTCACCGTCAACAGAAGGCTTCCGGAGGAGAGGATGAAGAAGACATAGAACTTCACACACGTGCCGGTGTTGTGACCTGGTTTGTTTATGCAGCAGTTTTATGTTTCAAAGTGTCTTATGCATTTAAAGATTTTTCACACAAATTGGATGAAAATGATTTCTTTGGACCTAATACTCTTAAAACGACCATAGCGTTAGCTGGAATAGTGTTTCTGATTCTACTCACCACGCTACACGACGCAAAGCCAGGTTCTAGCAGGCGAAAGTACATTGATGAGCTGACAGGAACTGTCATATTCGACATTTTGGATTGTGTAGACAGCATGGAGATCTTATTCGACGAAGAAGCACGGCGTAGTATTTTACCAAGTCTGGATGATACTATCATAGGCATTGCATGTATAAACTTTTTGTTGCCAACAATTCCACTGATAACGTTATCGAGGACAAATTTTGGGCATAAGAAACTATCGCAGAAGATGGTGATTCTACATAAAGTGCTGCTGGCGTTCATTGTGAATCTGCCTCTCCTGATCACTCGTATGGTGGTATGGCATGGCATGAGTCACGGTATTTCTATATTTTCTTTGAAAAACATCATTGTTATAGGCATTGTGTCCTATGACCTTTACGAGACTCACGAGAGTGAAGGCGATGAACCAGCTCAGGGTAGCACGGCTAACAACGTGCCCAGCTATGGTATGGAGGATAGGTATAACTATTCGTAGACTATTTCTCCTCGATGACCTTATATTAAATAAGCCGAACTCCTATCATGAAAATCACACTGGGTGATAAGTTTGGTATGTTTTATAAATGGAATACATGGATGACATTTTCTTTCCTTGCATGACAGATAAATATTCATGTCGCCCTAACGGTTGACATTCTATTTATCTGTCACCCATATTGCATTCATATCGACTATATACTGCATCTGGTAACAGTTCAAT